ACCGTTTGTAAGTATTTTCCTTCCATTCTTTTCAACTCTTGTATGCTACAATGTGTTTGAACTCTTCTAAGCAATGTCTGCACACAGTTTCTTTTGTGAGTAATTGGATTATTACTAGAATGGTTGAGTATTTGATCTGTGTGCGTTGATTTTCCACATACTTGTGTTTCTAAATTTCCTGTGTTGGTTCTCCTGATTAAAACATCTAAAAATGGGATTTTGTTATTTAATTCGTATGTAGCATATCTAAGTTAAGTCGAAATAAGTAATTCCAGCGTTTCGTTCAGAAAACTGGTGGTGACTAGTTATCAGCTTATATGTCTAGAAATTTAGTTTCTTAATGTGGAAATCAAAAATTTTACGAGTGCGCCACAATGTTCAAGTTCGTGCACAATGAATAACTGGTAAGGCAGTATGCATATAAATATATATATATATATATATTGTATGCAACAAGCACAAACTGCGAAAAAAGCAGTATTTAACGATTTCATAAATTTCTATAGGACTCGTCAACTGAATACTCCACAAACACTGCTGTTTATACAATTTTCTAACGTCCAATACACACAAGAATAAATAGGTATTAATTTCAACTAATATATGATCTATGATCAGTGAGTAGTAATCTGTTAACGTCACTAAGGTGTGAATAATATTCATCAAAGTACATATTAATATATAAAATGGAGTTATTGTGGTAAAAATAGTACAATTTAATAATTAATTATGAAATACAAGGGAAACTCGCAAAAAAAGAAACAAATAAATTATTCAAAAATATACAAACCATTTAGGACTAAATAACAATATTTTAACGTGTCTGTTTTAAACCCATAGGATAGTTTGAACATTCCTCACCAAGGTTAATACTCAACTATGATTTTCGATTTACCCCTGCCCTATGAAATAATCAACAGTGTGCCAGATAAAAATATCACACTAATAATAATATTGATGACAACAAAAAAACATTGCAAAGAAAAGAGAGAAGCGAGTGAAGATTATAGAGGTAAAATAAAAGTATGCTAAGACGGTAGATCTATGCTAACCCCTGCTCCCCTTTATATACATGGATCCAGCTTCTTTAACTTGACTGCGCAAGTCTCCGCGAAGCCAAGAGCTTTTTATTATCTTACTTATTAATGACTATAATATTTTTACTCAGTTTCGCTGTATGATTACAGTCCAACAAATGCCTTGTGACTGATTTCTTTAGGATACCATCACGAGTTCTATTAAGTCATGCGGGGCAGTGTTCAGCAATGTGAATCAAAAGACATTTTGACTTGGCATTCTGTTTTTTTACAGTTAGTGCTTGTCTTGAAGGAAATGTTTTTAGTACATATATATATATCGATGTTGAAGTTACATGTTCTGTGATCTGCCTATTGATCTGTTGATGTTTTCAGCGTGATCAGTTATATCAAATCCTAGACTGACAATCTGGTAATGCATGTAATTGCTCACAATCTCTTAACTGGCTTATCTCCGCCTACATTGCTAAACTTCTGCTAATAAAATTTTTTTAAATGTATGTTCTTATTTTGTCACTATTATGAATATTTTAAGCCTTCCGCAATTGAAGAGAAGCTTCGAAATAAAATGTACACATTTGTTGTCTAAATTTTATTGAGTTGTCATCACAGGTAATGCCTATGAGAAACTTGTTACATTTGGTTGAAATATTTTCCAAAGTGAAATTTTTTGAACTCTTAGTGTTTAGCATGATTCAATAGTTTTTACTGAGACCTCTGTAGCGAAAATGATTAATGAAGAACGTTTAAGTTATATAACAACCGAATTTCTTACCATTTATGATTAGAGAGCCTACAAGTTATAATGGAATTTTTGTTATCAGTGTTAAACCTGATAGTTGAAATTTCGAAGTTCTTTCTGTTGTTTTCGGGGTAGATTTCATCACGAACTGACACCAGTCAGAAGACTGCTGAAATTCAGCTATCATGGAACAGATGTTTCTTCTTAGTTTAGGAGTATTCAGAAGTACACCTTCAGGAACCGAAGGTTGCGAAACTAACGTATTAACAATCGGAAGAGACACTCCCTGATAACTTTGGATGGAGGTATGACTGTGTCGTGAAGTAACAGAATTTTTACGGTCAATTGTATTGAGATCCACTGGCTGGATGGTGACGAACTGGCCTCGTGACTTGAGGCTCTTGAGTTCTATCCCGTTTTGTCAGGTCTTCAGTTATCCTCCAAATGATTACTATTCGTAATGAAATCTGACTTTGAATATAATGCAATTCCCGTATATCTGACAATTGGAAAAGCTTTATGTTGCTACTAACGTCTTTTTAATGAATGATAAGGGATAATAAAACAGATGTCTGTAAGCAAAGCACAAAAGGCTGCATCAGACAACTATCTACTACTATATGAAGACAAAATAAATCTGTATTTAAAAACGTTTTTCTAGCTTTGTGAGAAATTTTTAAACTCATGCTTATGGAGATGATTCATTCCTTTTCTTCTTTTTACAAGTACTAGCAATTACATAGATCACATAATATGTTGAAGTCGGTTTAATAATGAAAGGCTACTTCACTATGAAACTACTCACTTCAATGTATTGTTGTTGTTAATAGAGTATGAAGTCAAAAGTGAATGACGTAAACTTGCTTGCTCACTACACTGTGGGTTTATGACCGTTTTTCTTTTCTAAATGTAACATTAACTGATCTTACAATTTTTTTGACTAAGTATACTGCTGTGGTTTTGGTGTCGTACCAACTTGTCTTGTAAAAGTATACGGGTTACCTGAATAGCGTAATCGGAATGTTGCGGAGTAAATCATTGCTAAAAGTTGTTGTCAGTTCAAAATTGTTCATCGCAATAGAGGGAGTTTATTTACTTAGTGTCAATATCATTCCCCTTAGTTTCGTTATTCCCCGTTTTTGCTTATATTTTATTTCTCTTTAAATTTGTGTATCTATTTGTTGTCTTTCTATCCTATGTCATTTCTGTTAGGTACACTGCTGTTTCATATTCTACCCTGCCTGATAGGCCAGTTAGTTAATTATTATATTCCCAGTCACTGATCTTAATCATAGCAACAACAAAAAAATGAAATTGTGGGTCATGTTATTCATATATTTTTGTGAAGTATTTATCTTTTCAATTGAGGAAAAATCAGTAGACTCAATTGTTGCAATTAGAACACGTTTAACCTTATTACCAGGGTAAATAATTACCTACAAATTATTAAAATTAATTGAGGTAAATAAAAATTCATTAGAGCGGAAAGTAGTAAGGATTGCTAAAAAAGTAATTATTTCATTAAACACAAAGTGTGTATTAATTATTTGCAACGTAATAACATTGCGAACAGAGGTTATAGTGAAAATAATTTTGAAAAATATTTTGTTTAGTGCCATTCTGAAAGATAATTAGTATCTAAGACGCGTTGGTCAACCAGATGGGATTTTGTGCTGATAAGTCACTTGCCCTATCGTATACCTAGTAATGTCGACATCGACGTTTTACTAAAGATGCGAAGTAATAATTTCGGTGGTTGATGACTGGCAGTGGACTCTATGATGCCCGTTTCATCCTGTTTGGGTCTCGTTAACTGAATGCCAAACACTTTGGTCAAGTCAATCAGTGGGGATCTGCAAAATGAATTGAAGAAGATCAAAAGTGATGTTTAGAATTCAGTGGAATTCACCTACTATTTTGTTCTGCTCCCCACAAATTACCTTGAAATACGTCATCGTGAAAGTATTCATTATTTTACTTCCATATTTATATGCCTGAGAAAAACCAGGAGCTAGAGACTTATTTATTTATTTATTCAAACGCATAAAAACTTGGTACAATAAGGATGCGCCACACAATAATAATAAAACAACATAGATCAAAAGAAAAAAAGAAAGAAGAGAAAAAATATATATAAGCAGAGAACGGATAAAGAACTTCATCTGGAAGGAAAACAGTCATGCTTAAAAAGTTCAAACAGTATTAGTTAACTATCATCGGGAAGGGAAGAAAGAAGGAAATAGCAACACGTGTAATAGCACGCGATAAGTTTCACTGATTGTTTGTTGCTTCATTCAATTCATTGCCCGGGCGCCCAGACGGAAGCAGGTGGTTTTATTAAGGGACAACCCCCTGAGCCTTTGACTTGGAGTCTAATCCTCAAGGCAGCGGAGCAGCGTCAGGAGCTGCATTCCCATGGTTTCCGGTGACCCATATGGGTTCATACGCCATTTGATCCGATTGGATACTGGAGCCCATGTACCCCATGGTAACTGCTTTTAGTTTAACCGCTATCTAAACAATCTTCCTGACATGGTAGGACCTGCAGAGACAGGTCCCAGTCAGTTTAGTATGTTGGCTGATTACGGTATTCAAGCCCGACCGCCACGACAAGGTAGCACTTATCGGCCGGGAGCTAGAAACTAAGTATCCAACTGCATATTCATTGTCCCAGAATAGATGAAAGTATCGGCTAAAAGTGTAACTTATGATCGCGTAATCGAAAGCGAAATGTTCATATTTGAAAATACCATTATATGAATTTAAATTACTACTGACCTAAGATGTGTTTGCTAGTGTAGGATAACTGACTGTGATCTTCTACAAAGATTCAAAACAATCATATAATCCCTTTCCATTTCTCATGACTTATATTATTTTTTCTATCGTAAGCAACGAATTCTTTTGTGATCTTATTTTGATATGTCTTTTTATCGGTCTATGTGTAAGTGTGGCTTTCAAAGTTTTTTGGCATTATCTCTTCTAAGACGAAACCTTCTCATGTTCCCAATGGTTGGCAAAACATTTTTTCAGTATAAATTTTTATTTTCTTCTTCACTTATTTTTTCTCCTAAGACTTTAACTTTTATATTATGCAGCATAGTTTTTTTTTAAAATCTACTGAAATATTATTTCACGCTATATCAGTCGTCTATTTGCAATAAACCTTAATAATATAAACAGTAATTATGCCTATAATGCTTGTTATTTTATCTGTTTAGTCTGTGTCAGTGCTGGAAAAACACCACATTAAAGTTGGCTTGTGCACTCTCAGAGAAAGTGGACTTTCCGAGTGTTTGGAACAGGAAGATTGGTAAGTTGTATCAAATAAGAGATTATTATAATATTATTATTCCCTTGGGTTTCAACAGCACATCTCCACTTTATCCTATTCTCTGCAGTCCTATTTAGCTAACCCCAAAATTGTCCATAGTCTCTCAAGTCGCACGGTATCCGCAATGTGACCCTTATACACTCAACTCGTGGTTATCCGTTCGAAGTTCACCTGAGGGACTAGCGCCCGATGTCACTCGACTGTCTCCTTAGTTTGTTTCTGATCCATCTCCACTTCCCTCGAAATATTTGTTGGACAGTAGGTTTTTAAATAGTGTGTTCCAGAGTTTCTTGTTGCTTATCCGTCCCGGTTGGCCATCTGATCTCCTGTATGGAGCGAAGGTAGCTGTAGTCTTCCATAGCCTGACCCATATAGAAGCACTGACTGACATAACATTGGTGTTGAAAATCCGAATTTTTCTTGCGCTGGTTGCATAAGATTTTAACACTGATTTCATAGTGATGAAGATCTGTTTTGCCTTTCCAATTCTGGTTTTAACATCCTTGTCGCCCTGTGTACACATTTTTACAGACTATTTCCAATCACCAAATCATCGAAGTCACAGAAGTCCGAGGACATTTTCCCGTTCTCATTCATTTCGCCCGAAGCTTCTCGACCCATTATGAATTTTTTTCTTATACTGTCTGCTTTGAGTTTGGCATTCATATCGCCCATCAGGATTTTAATTTCGTCATTTAGGATGTCGTCCATTACTCTTTGTAGTTGTCCATAAAAATCTTTGTTCTTTTGTTGATCTGCTTTGTTTGCAGGACCTTAGCATCGGATAATTAAAACTCCTCTTCCTTTTGAGTTGGATCTTGCTGTCATTATCCTGGATGCTGTTGGTGAAATCAGGATAGCCACTCCCTCAGTGTGCTGGTGGTTGTGGTCTGGGTGACCGGAGTAGGTTATTGACTTTTGAGTTAACAATTTAGAGTGCCCACATCCATTCCACTTACTTCCACAGATTCCTAGCACTTCTATACCATATTGTCTGATTTCTTCGGGAACTTGGGCAGTCTTCTCAGCTTCGAACATTGTGCGAACACTCCAAGTCCACTTCCTTATTTTCGCTTTCACTGAAAGAAGACATATTGGCTGACTGGCTTTCCGAAGGCTTTCAACAACCCACAAAAATTGAAAAAGACACCTAGGTAACTTAGAAAAACTCAAATTAACAGCGTTTGTATTACGAGTGTAGAATGAATGTTTAACACATTTTAATCGAACGTATAATATTTTTTAAGTCACACGGATGCACATATAGAGGTATTATTTTGATAATTGCACACTAACTAATTTCATATGATGCAACAATTTACAGATGTAAAGTTGTTTGCGGTCACAGTCTTTGTATTAAGGTTATGCAGTAGTCTTATAAGGTATCCCTAAATTATCCTAACCAATTTTCAATTAAGCGCTGATTATGCAGTGTTTATGGATCTGTAAATGGAAATAATGGGTCTAAGATCAAGTGTTGTGAAGATAACCTCAAGTAGAATAAGAAATTAATCAGTCCTATTAATGACTCTTGAGCACAAAAGTATTACTAATGATTCTATTATAGATATTTGTAAGATTCATTGATGTTGTACATAGTCCATATTTCAAAATAAGTTTATACCTGTTTACTTTTTCAATAAGCGGAAAACCATATGGCAAAAATTAGTAGAAAATGGACAAAATGACTAATCAGAAAAGTAAAGAGAACAGTAATGTGTGGATGATTTTTCAAATTATAAATGATAAAATTTAACGACTGACAATACAGACAGACAATTAGTACTAAGTGTTGTGCTTCTGGTTGTTGTGTTATTACTTGTTACCTAAAAACAATTTGGATATATTTATTTCGAACCATTTTATTATTTCTTCAGTTGAATATAAGCAAGGTAGAATATTTCAGTCTACCGTGTATCATTTCAATTTTATTATTCAGTGTGATGTTGATTCTAATCATTGTAGAGAGAAAATGATATTTCGAATTCAAGCTCTCGAATTGACTTGACGATCTTTGCTCTTACATTCAGCTGACAACGCGTCACGATTAGTAATTGGACGCTGATGATACTCTCTAGCTGCTGAAACCACAGTAGTTGGAGCTGTGTTCTCTCCTTTCACATTTCGGTTGAGAATCAGGCGCCTAGACCTAGAAGTTGCATGTTCACTTGCTTCAAGTAATGGTAATACCAGGGAAATTATCCCTGAGCTATTGAAGTCTCCAACTTACTGTAACATAGAACAGTTCGTTTTGTTATAATAATATTTTTCACCATGAGCCAGTCTCCTCTCAGAATCCATAAGCATCAGATAACTGTTTTGTTCTAAAATGCGGTTCTCCAACACTGTGCATTTTATTAACGGAGTATTGAAGTCATTACTGTACTTTGTTAGGGCATGGTTTTGTATATAAATCTGTCATAAAATGCTAACTAATCCATCTGTCTAGTCTTTGATCTTGACATAAGTCTATCGATTGGATATGCACTTCTGTCATTAAGCTAAATGGTGGGACGCTGCTATTGCTGGAGAAAATGGACCAAATGGCAATAATCACTATATCTGTCTCCATGATACACAGTAGTCATTCATGTCTTCAAATATGCGTTTTTTTATAGAGTAGAATGTGCTTACAAACCACAGATGAATAGTTATGAGATTTGATGGTAGTTAACATTAGTAGATAATTAATTCTTTACAGATATGAAATTCAAACCATTAGACATCATATAATACAAAAACACCTAAATACACTAATTTTGATCGTATACTTTAACTAGTTTGGAAGACCTGTCTAGTACTGCTTTCCCCACCGAAATCAGGTACCCAGATAACATTTGGTTAAAGTCACTTTTACATCATTCAGATTTTCTCAATTACAAATAAATTAAGTTAACATAAGGATTAGAACGATTGAAAGTATATAATAAATCTTATGTATATATAAAGTTACGTTTCTATTTGACCCTGTGTTAATAATAGTAAGTCAGATATTATCAATGTTAGAATAGGAGCTTTCAAGATAACACAAAACTAGTGTCGTCAGTTTATGTTAACTAAAATCAATTTACTCTATTCTATATTCAATTGAGTCTATACGGTCAGGTGAATACATTTCCACATTTAATCTTTTTTCTCAATCTTATGTGACACTTGATGTAACACCACTATCATACCATCTAGCTATTGATGTTAGCCGACTTCTGTCTGTTAGGTTTTGCAGTGACGTTGTAAGTGCATGACATATTAGTATTCGGTAGCGTAATTATTTGTTGGTGAACTGGTGTGCTAGTATGGCGATATATATACATATATAATATTAAAATCACCATTTGCACATGTTCTCCGTATTGTGCTTCTTTTGGCTTCCTCTCATGTGTTTTCTAATTTGTTTCACAAGGATCTTTCGTTTCTCATCTTCGTCATCTGATTCATTCTTCGGCTTTTCGAAATTGTTGTAAAATACATCATATACAGTATTCTACTTACAAAATATTGTCAGCTGCATTCGCCACAATAACACAGACTTGCCATTGTAATGAATTATGAGCTGACGTCAGATAGTTAGAGTCAGCCAGTCATCCTGGAGAGTTCCACTTGGCACGAAATGTGGATGTATTGTTCATCATTTTTGTTTTCTTCGATTTTTTCATAGATTCTTATTTTTCCCAAGTTAATAAGTAGTTTTTTAAAATTTTCCTGACATGATTAGTTTATGTGATTGTTATAAATATTATTACTCATTCCTTGAGTTCCTAATGGGTTATAGCGACACATCACAAATGTATTCAGTTCTTTGCCATCACTTTTAGCTAGCTTTCCAACTACTCTCAACCTCTTACCTCCTATTCGCATGATACTCATCATATCATCGTTAGATGTCCAAATAATCTGTTTCAATTCGGTTTTCATTCGGCGGCCTAATTGTTATAAACTGAGAGCATAATAATCTGTTAATCTGTGTCCTTTTACGACTTGCTTGTTGTTTTAATGGCTTTATATAACAATAATACTGCCATTGTATTTCAATAAATAAATTCTATATATAATGGTCTACCATACACCTTTTATTCAGAATAAGTTCAATAATAAGAACTATAACAGTAATCACGTATCACTTAATCTTCAGCATTATTTGAATCTCTTTAGGTATGCTTCACACGTACACAAAACAAAGCATCTCGGTAATATTAAATGCTGTTGTTTCTAAAAGATTTAATAATTCTATAATAAATTGATTTTATTTGATAAAGTATGATATAGAATCATTTCATTTAACCAAATAGAATAACACACCACAGCATCCAGATTCTATTTGCGTTCATTTAATTGCCTTTGCTGAATAACATAGTGAAATTGATAATTGTAATGTTGAACTTTTAATATTTAGTACAAGCCGAGTACAATCTCACGGTGGTGTTAACCAATAGACTTCAGGGTCCAAGTTTCATCCTGTCTGATAATTCTTAATTGGCTGTACAGTTATGTGATTAATAAATTGAAATCCAGTAATCGCAGATCCACACACCTGCTATTCACTAGAGTGTTTAAACCAGAAATCCACGTCTTTTTTAACTGGTGTCATTTGTCTTTGTTTGTCTACAATATAATGTCCGTAGTGTTCAGTTAACAAAATTCACGAACAGTTAAACTTAGTAGATTGTGGTATGAATGAATTTCAGTACCTGGTATGCGCTTATCCGTGTGTATAAAATGGGTTGTTGCATCCGCAAAATGTGTAAAATTATGCAGCAGCAAAGTAGAAGGTAGTTTCTGAAATATGTAAACTTAACTGAATCATTCTATATCGTTCTATTTCACTGTTTCTTTTTACTTTGCTTTATCTTCTTTCTTTTTACAAACAAAATATTTATTGATAGGACAATTGTTCGAGACTGTTTTGTGCAAGTAATTCTGGCTACTGATATCTCATATCAAGGAGTATATCGAAAACAATTTGCGGTAATTTATGGAATTATTAACTTCACTCTGAATGTTTTCATTATATCCCTTGATTGTTGACATTTAGAAAAAAATATTACTGGAAGTTATGAACTAAGAAACATGCTTATTTTGACTGTGTCTAGTAAAGGAATTCATAACATACATTTTTATCTTAATATTCAAAGAATTAGATTTGTTACAGAATAACAAATATTGTTATTGTATCATAACTAAGTCTAAAAATAAGCTGTTTTATTCATGGAGTAGGCATTCTATACTTATGCTTATTTCAGTGGACGAGAATGTTTCCATTGCAAAACAGGAGGGGAGGGGGGAGGTTAACAGCATAGCTCTTATGACGTTAACTGTGATTACTGCTGTTATAGTTTTATTCAAGTCGTCAAATATTGCAACTGACAGGAAATTCCGCGGCATTCTCCAAATGTTACTATTTGATATAAAAACTATATATCACCAGGCTTGATGATGAAAACAACTTCTACGCCGTCACAAAGATTGTTTCTAGTCTACACAAAGGAGAATTATAGTCAGAAAATCGGTGTGGTTGTAACCTTTTTGTCGACTAAAATGAGATGAAATCCAGGGTAAAAAAAATGAGTGCAAATCGTTGTAGTACGTAGTGACTATGGTGTTGAAAAATCTGTTGCTGTAAAATGCATAAATAGATATCAAAAGAGGCTAGCTAACTACTGTTATTTGAGATTATAATCATTCAATTAGGCTGATCGGATACAAACGCAATTACATTTGATCATGACAATAAAGCCCTCTGTTGAATTAGTTTCTATAATGTGTATTCATATCAAATGAATATTATATATATATATATATATATATATATATTCATTGTTTAACGGTCATTCATATGTGAAGATAAAAGAATTTACCCGCAATGAATTTTTGAGTGTAAATATTTTTCTGTAAATTAGAATAATTTCTCATATGATGAAATGATTTAAAAGCAGATAAAAAAGATCAGACCCTATTCGTTTATCTGTCTTCAAATCTTCTCTTATATATATATATATATATATATATATATATATATATATATATATATAATTTATTCTGTGAGAAAACTAAAATTTTGTTTAAGTAGTTTATTTCGTTTTCTTTGTTTTCTTCTTCGTAAATTTCAATACTTTTATTCTAACCCATTAAAATATCACTCATTTGAACTTTTTTAAAAGAAAATTGTGGGTTTTTATTATTCATACTTATGTTTTCAGTAACTGGTCCTTTTTTCGATCAAGCTCATAAGTTTGGAATTTATCTTACCGTTGAAATTTGTTATTTTAACACTGATTGAATCAGGTTTCCATGTCTAAGGAAATAATTTGTTTTATTAGTGACTTCAGGTATTTATTGATTGCTGCTGACTGTTGAATAAGCAAGAAATCGAAACTCAGAGTTTTCTGTCCATAGACTTCAGACAAATGATTTTAAGTTAAAGAAGATAAAGGTGTCCAGTACTATAATGTTAGTGACCAATCTCATAGTTCGTTCTACCTACTTAAAAGCAAATAACATGCACTGATTATCATCAATCTCTGAGTTCAAGCGAAACTGACTTCTCTAAACACATGCCCTCTTGACAATTCAAGTCTAGGATAATTGTAATTTTTCAGCTTTTAAATAATCCACTTACCTGACAGCTAAACGTCAGGTAAAAAATTAATGCAAAAAAAGGAGCAAAATGTAAATGTAATACCAAACTAAATGATTGTGTAACTTTCAGTCAAACATCATTTTGTGAAATAATTCTGTTTCTCGACGTTATGTTGAAAAAAATTGGAAAAAGTCTGCTAAACTGTTTTCCTATTCTCTAAGCCTTTGATATGTCCTTAAATTCAAATGTTTATTTCCGGCTTAATTGAGGTATCTGTCTTCAAATTAACAACCACGATGATGCACCAGATAAGCTCCAAGAGTTAGATATTGATCTGGTTTCATTTTAAATTTTTTTTAACACTTGGATGAAATAGGAACCATGATCATTCAACATTGTCATGTATGCTGACCAAGATGATTTTCTCATTCCAATGAGGATATCAAGCACTATTCTTCTCGGTTGACTGATCAACTTGTGCAGAGTGACGATACAAACTCATTGGATAATTTTGCAATGCACCAGATGATTCAGGTTGCCTGTTGCAGGTATTATCACAAAAACTAATTTTGTTATCGCCAAATGCTACTTACATTTTCGCATCTAGTTTATTGTTTCTTTTTGGTAGTATCACCACTTTACATCCTATAGTTCAATAGCGGATTGTTTTAAATGAGTTATTTCTACTTTTATTTGTGAACACTACTGAATGAGTAGTTAGGTGTTTACCCTAGTAACTGTAAATAAATCTGAAATGATAACCGATAAACAGGAGAACTCTTAATCCACAGGACATTGTTGTATCGCAATGTAATCAAATGATTACATTTCTGATTTGAATATTCATCTTTTACCCATTCACAGACATTACAATTTGTGTTTCATCTGTACGTTTGTTATGAATACTTAACTTTTTGGATAAATATTATATCATGAAATAAAATTGTATTCTGTCGTTTGTGTTGGTATGAATTAAATTAAAAATTTTTTCATGTTTATAGGAGTTATCCAAATCTTGTACAGCTAGTCCGTCGGTACCATTTACTCAGTCTGAACGAATTCTACTTATGCAGGTATGTGTCTATCCTGGCATTTCAGAAACAATCTGAAGTGACACTTATCCTCAGTTTTTATCCCCACAGTGTCTTGTTTTGAATTATGTTCAGGGTAGTAATATCTATCATTATTAGATTGTTACCAATGCATATAACTGAGGAGCTGAGTACATTATTCGGTCATTTAAAGAAGTTCAGTTTTTAAGACTTGTGTTTATTGCAACTTCCAGTTGGAATGTTTGTTGACAGCTGATACATGTCAAAGTAACTCTCACTAAGTATTCACACTAGTTAAACTGTCATTGCGAAACAAGCGGCTTAAGACAAATATTTCTCCTTAGTCTGGAACTCTTCCCAAATGTGAACCCATTACTTAGCTATCAGTTATTCTAAACCGTTGTGCTACATGACGAATACAAGAAATTTAAACCATTGGTTGAAGCCTATGTCTCATATCGTTCAACTATTGTCAACCGACCATAGTGAGTAGCAGCAATCAAGCGTCAATGTTGACTGCTTAGGAATTAAACCTAATTGACTGTATTAGTCATGTGATACTGAGGATGCGCTAAATTACGAACTGTCCACTGACTACTTGGCTCATAGTGAATGGTCAAGAGACAATGTATGCGCCACAAAATCTGATATTTCCAGATGCAGTACCTGATTCGGATGTGTCAGTTAGGTTGTTTGATTTAGCTGGCAAGTGGTGATTTGATATATCACTGCATTTAAATTTGTTTCGTTGTAAATTGTAATAGAATTAAATTCAGTGAGTGTTCTGTTCCATACATCGACGCCAAATACAGCAAATGGATTTGCAAGCTGTCTATTTCTGCAGAACATAACTATAAAGTGAGAGGGATTATTTGATAGTAAGACCTAATCCTAGATAACACACAAGTATTTGTCAGAGGACTGACGGTATCTCACATGTTGCTGGTCTACGACAGTGAATTGGGATAATGCCATTAAAATTATTGATAATGGATTAGTCTAGTAACATGCTAGATGCTGTCAGCAATTTTTTCTAGTTTCTATTGATAACTGGTGAACTAAAAGTAATTTAAATATTATTTCATTAAAAAATATTTATATCATGGAATTTGTGGATATTTGGATTAGTTTTACCTGTTAGATTTTCTCACGCGTTTACATCAGTCAGACTGGTTACCTGAATGTCCAGGGTTTGATCTCTGGCAGGTTCCGGGTGCTCACTACTGAAGGATCCCAAAACAGGACGAGACAGCTATACAGTGCTCCCTGATTTTCAATGACTGCTCTAACTGATGTCGGTTTGTGAACGAATCTAACAACTGGAAGAAAATTTATTAGAAATACGATTCTTGGAAATATCTAGAGAGCATAAACCTTTTCTTAGAAAGTCATTACTACGTTACAGGTGAAAAATATGCTGATAGTCTAAGCTGGAATGAAAATCTGAATTTCACTAGATTTGGAAGTAACAGTTTTCAACCTGTGTAGTCCAGTGTCTTTCTTTATTCATATGACTTTTTAGGAGAAATTAAATCAGCAGCTTAATGGGATCATATTTTAATTACATTTTCCTTTCAAATACTGTAATGTAGATGGCTTTAAAATGTGCCGATATAAGCAATCCATGTCGTCATTGGCCAATATGTGAAGAATGGGCAAAACGTGTTTGCACTGAGTTGTTCTGTCAGGGTGATAGAGAACGCCATCAGTGGTCACTACAACCTATACCAGCTATGGATCGAACTAAATTCACTATACAGCGATTACAAATCGGTGAGTAAAGTTTTTTTTTATAAGACAAGCATTCACTTTATGCAAAAAAAGTGAGGCTTTTGGTGCGATGGAAAATGTTACTTTCATTCTGCTTATACCAAATGATTGACTGAATTCTTCATTTATAATCTTTCACTTTCACATGATCACAATGAAATGTTTTCATCACTTGACATTTACATTCACACTTGAGCTATCAACTCAAAAGAACACAATAATTACTATTAGGTGTGAATAATCCGGTCGCTGTAAAACACATTTACAACCCATACATTCAAACATGTGAATAACTAGGCTACATAGTCAATGAAAGCTATTTAGGACAGAAAACTGAAATCGGAACTTCTGGATTCTGGGACGTGGAACAATAATTAAAGGGCGGATAATACCTAATAAAGCTAACTGCAAAAATAAAGCAACCAAAGAGACTAGTTCTCTTTCAAACTCTGTCACATAATAGAAATTAAAACAAGCAACAAGAGTTAATAAATTCCATATTAGTTTGTTTATTAGATGTATCACACAGTGAAACAGCATTGTTTCCTGGATATATGTATATACTACTGGAAATACATTAAGAGATATAAGATTGATAAGCAAATAAACTACATTGAATTAATCATGCAAAACGACACATGTGAATGCTTTTTCAGGTCATGTCCAGATAGATAAGGGGAAGGGAGTATGAGAGATTAAAATTAAGATAAAATGCATTACGCTTCAATTACATCACTTAGATAAACAATTAGTCAACAGAGCAAGGACTTAAATATACCAAGAATTGTGAACTGAGTAATATTAATAGTAATGTTTGCAGTAATAATGCTGAGACGAGTTAAGATAATGCTACTGATAGAAGATAGTTTTAAGTGAATCAAGAATAATAATAAGAGGTAGAATAAAGTGTTAATAATATTAACAATAGTAATAACAACTAATAAGTAAAACGTATTGCCATGGTAGATTCAGAGTGACGACCACTTCTTTTTGTATGCGGAGACCTGGTTTATAAACAAGCCTCAGCACTTGCAAGCATCTTCCTGTTTCTGTGTCTGCTAATGACAGTGACTGACTTGACAGCCTTGTTATCATGTTCGTAGAGCATAAGATGTTTTGTTATTGAGCTTTTTGGCACTTTGAATTTTCAACCACTTTGACAATCTACACGACCTACATATTTGCTTCAACAAACACACACAAACTGATATACGCAGTTTGAAGTGTCTAGGGTTGGCTACTGGTCTTTCCCAGATTGTTGTAGCACTCGCTTGATGGTGTTAAGGTAGACAAGTTTTGCATCATGATAGGTTCTCTTGATAGCTTTATTGAGTCTTGTACATGACCTCCTTTGAATGGTAAATTGACATAGACAGATTTCTTCTTTTTACAGGAGTTCATTTCTTTAGAATATTTATTCATGAACTTCACAGGTTATCCACTTTTAGATAAAATATCCTTCAGAGCCTTTATTTCATGCTCAACTGTACTGTCAGAACAAATTTTTCGTGCTTTTTTGAACAGTGTTCTAAGTTATTTTTATACTGGATTGGAACAAAGCTCTTGAAATGTATGCGTGTCTGTGAAGACTTCCTAAATGTAGATCTTTTGATAATTAATTTTTAGCTTGTCCATAAACACTTATTTCTCATAGCATTTTCATAGATTGTTGATAGTAAATGAAGATTAACCAGCGACAGACATATTCAACTCCTCATGACATTCATTAAGCACGAATTTTGTTGACACCCTACTTGTCAGTACCAGGATGCTTTTATTAAAGATAATGTTTTCTTTGTGTGCTGTGTCAAATTTACCTGTCTTACGTAGTATATGGTAAATACACCTAAATATTATACCTTTAGGTTGTTTAACCGATGAATCTATTTGAAGTTCAACAGCATAAAAGCAGGATGCTAAGCCATACAAAAACGGGATTATTAGTGAACTAGAATTTGGACGCATTTTTGATAATGACCTTGAGTAGCGTATAAATAAATGTCTGATGGTGTAAGAAATATTGCCTAGTCATTCAAAAACATAGGATTATATGAGTTCACTAATATTTGGATACATTTATTCTGATTTACTTGCTTAACCTCTCTATATATCTTATACTGTCCAGCCCATATCGTGGATGACTCATCAGATATCTGATTTTATGCACTAATTAGAAGTCTGCACGAATATTTAATGAGGTGAACTGGGAATATGGTGACATTTAGGGCTGGGCGAAAACCGCATGTAAGCTGACTAATCAATGCAAGTTTGGTCGATGCACTGATTTACCCTTGTTTACTCTTATTGTTCTTCAAACAGACAGTGTTGTAGAAAATATTTTACTGAGATAAGGAGTGATCCACGCCTCAATAGTAAAATCTGATTATCAAAATGACGTTAATTAACTCTTTAGCGTATAGTCTTCTCATCCATGTAAACTTCTTTTTTTAATAAATAGTCCCCTTTATGTAAGCCCAGGATAAACTCTGTATAAAATCGAAGCATCTTCATTTGTTGTAGTGTCCAATAAATTACTCCATACGATATCGCACATCCAAGTTTACTATTACATTTTGTTTTGGGGGATTGTACAAAATAAGTTGACTCTTCAGGTGGTTTTCACTCTTACACATGCCAGACGTATTCTACCCATATGTCTAATACAATTTTTATATTTTTTTTCAATATTTAGTTTGATTTTCTCTCAGTTAGACAGAAATATATTCGCAGTTATTCTCATGGTTACATCTCCTGTCCGACGATAATACGAGCCATTAATTAAAAACAAACTACACATTTCTCACGCATAACAACAAAAAATCTTTCAGTCTTTTTATGCCAACATAACTGAATTCAGTAGCGGTAGTTGCTTCAAGTGGATCACTGTAAACGTTTGGTATAATATTTGTTTTGTTGTTTTCGTATTTAGTGTAACTACCAGTCAGTCGTCTCTGTGTTATGAATGCTGTTAACGTATAAAATGAATATTTCATACATACACTTAATAAGTCAACTGATTGAAGTAATTTATCTTGTTTTTCTCGTTTAGATTTTTCACTGCCTTCCTGAATTTTTAATTCTGTCATTTTATTAGTTTATGTTTATGAGTTGATTTAGCTTATTCAATCAGGTGTGTTCATTGAAGACATTTCCTAAAGCATGACTATTGTTTAATGTAAGAGCAGAACGTCATAACTGTGATAAATTATGATTTCATATCGAGCAAGTTGATAATGCTGTCTAAAAAAAGACCGATATTATTATTACCACTGTATCACTCTACTACATAAAAAACTTGCTTAATACGGAAGACTTGTCAAATTTGATCATGTGCTAAACAAACACTGCGGCAGTACGCTTCAGTGGCTAGCATGATTACAACCTTACACTTGTAATGCGAACTTCAGCAAATAAATCTACATTCCCTTACATAACTTGAATCAAGAGTCATTGACTGAATATCTCGGCCTACTCACTCTTTTTTTTCATACAGCCTAATTCTGTCTTATCTGAAATTGCTACCTCGCGTGAAGTTTTATGGTTTTTCACAACTTCACTGAGTGATTTGCCCTTTTGTTTCACCTTTTTGTTCTCAAAGCTATCAAAGTCACCACTGCATATGCATGAGCGAAGCTTTTATGTTAGGAAAAGCTTACATTAGCTTTTCACCCGTAAATTCACTGATATTTCGTCATGATGTGAGCTGTAGATGAGAAATGCTACCATTACCACTCATCATAATGAGTGCAGTATATGACTGTGAAGTGAATAGGAGATAAATTGCAATGCATATATTCTAAGAGTGGTGTGAACACTGGTAACAAACTGTTTCAAGGTATAGAAAGAATTATATTTGTCAACTTCTAAGCATTCATCTATTTGAGAATGATACTAAAATTTATCTTCTAGATATATCACACAGTGAAAAAGTATTGTTTCCTGGATGACATTTCGAACACAGCTTATAGCTCATAATCATATGGGTTGCAATTACACAATTTCGAAACTTGATTTTTGTAGTTCTCCTGTTTCCCCTCCAGTCGTCGTATGAGTAGTCTATTTTTCCACATGTCCGGAGGTAGGTGTTGAGTTATTCCTATTGCATGTGTTTTCGTTTGATTCGGTAATTAAAACTTCACTTATCGATTTCCCTCTCCACGTTGTCACACCATCCAGTAAGTAATACTGTTTTGCTGTGTAATATGACTAATAAACAAAGTATGTGGGGAATTGTTACATGCTATCACAGTGACTGGGCTCAACAGATATATCAGAATGATACTAAAATGTTCCTGAATTAAGTTGTAACACCAAATTTTCTATTTTTTGAAATAATAATCTTATCTAATTCTATTTTCTCACCATCTGCCACTTACCTTAGATTGGATTGGTTGTAAAAATGTTAAAATTGCATGCATACAGGATATCGGGATTATTATGAGTTTTAAACGTGATAAACCTTTTTATTCATAAGCTGACTGGATTGGGTTTTACTCCACTTCTATTAAATTGTTATTCTTATTATTCATTTTTGGGTTTTTTTTTTTTAAAATACTGACTTAATTAAGACTTTTTGGTTTCTGCCTCGCGATAGTAATTTCTTAAGGTGATATTGGTGATTCGGATTTTCCACATTCCTTCTTCCATCTTTTACAACTATTGAACTTCCCGATAGATAATGAATATGGAATTTGAAAATTTTTTAACTTTTCAAATACTTTTAGTCTCTTAGTTGCCTTTAGTTAATGTTGAAAGTTTAATTTAAGAATTTGTGAAATAATCATAGTGATAATGTGACAAGTGTTCCTGACATGATTTATAGATAGTATATACATGCATATATATATATATATATATATATATATATAGCGTCAGGAAAACTGAATGCCTGGAGAGATGGGCCTAACGAAGGATGCATGCGAAATGACATCGGGAATATGAAAGTAGGACACAGAAGAGAAATGCTAAAGACAAAGCGGGACGATACCGAATATGTAAACAGATTGTGACTTTTACATATTAGGCGTATTTTACAATTCTGTGTGTGTGTGTGTGTCGAGTTGCAGTAAATAATTCCGTTGCCAATTCTCTTGGCTTCTAGCGTTACAATTATTATTATTATTATATCCTTTAGTTCTTAAACGAACATAGGGCTTCAGCTGCGCATCTTCATTGTCTTCTGTTTTCTGCCAACTTTTTCACCCCGCTCCAAGTCTGCCCACATGCATTCATCTCCTCTTCACATGACCTCCTCCAAGTCACCCTTGCACTGACGACCAACTCCCCGCTTCCCCTTCACGTTCCACTCAAGCGATGACTTGTCTAGTGATGTCACTTGATGGTTTCCTCAGCGTATGGCCAGCCAATCCATCTCCATTTCTTCCTGCATATTTGTTTCACAGTCGGTTCCTGCTGGGTTGGTTCGCTCATTGCCAGATATCCCTGTTGCTGATCTTTTCTGGCCAGCCATCTGATCTTGAGTACTGAGCGAAGACAACCGTTAATGAAGGTCTGAAGTTTGTTGGAGATGCTCTTTATGACGCACAATGCAAGTCTCTGATCCGTATAGTAAGTGGCACCTACTTCACATTGGAGTTGAAAATCCGGATCTTATTTTTGATGCTGAGTGATGTTGACCTCCACACAGACCTAAGAGTAATGAAAGCCTGTCTTGCTTTTCCGATTCTGGCTTTGATATCCTCGTCAGTTCCGTGCGCCTGTAGTTGAAACGATGTTTCCCAGGTAGGTGAAGGAGGTTGTTTCTTTCAGGTTCCTCCCATTTATGCTGATTGTTGTTGGTGTTGGCCAAGAATCTTCATCACCTCTGTTATATATATGTTCACTTGGAGTCCTATCTTTGATGCTTCTTCTGCCAAGCGTTTCAATAATACTAGTAATATAACACTGATAATTCTTTTTTGCAAATTTAGTCTCTTCTGTTGTTTTTTTTAAAGTTTTCCAGGTGAAAACAAATTATGCATACCCCACCATTTGAATAAATATCATTTTTTGTAGTAAGACTAGTTTTGTTTTGTTTACTTTTTTTTATCCACGAAAAACAAACATTTTGACAGGGTTTGTCAGAGATATGGTGAAACCATTGTTTGCACTTTGGCACGAATTTTTACAAAGTGATCTGACAATGATAGTTTTGCAATACTTAGATGAAAATTTGAAACTATGGCTTGACCAAATGTCTGGCGTAGAAGTGAAATGTCCAACTACATTCTATCGTCTTGGTTCATTAGATAGTCATTCATCATTGAACCTAAAAGATATGCAGCTTGTTTCATCTTCTGATGACGAGAGTGATGAGCAAGGAGATGAAGATGGACTAGAGGTTGGTTGAATGTCTAATAATGTATTGTTATAATAATAATAATAATTTTTATTAATATCTCATTTTACGCAGTATGAACTATCGATTGGTATAAGTATGTGGTAACTTATTTTATCATTATTTGAGTCAATTGGCTTGTCAAATACGAGACAGGTGTTACTGTCGTTTGTGGTTGACTGCACCTGAAATAGCTGAATTGTTCACTTCATGGGAATTATACCTATCACATAATATCATGTGATACGAATGTTAACACTTTACTTCCGATTGTGCGTTTTAGTGAAACTTCAGAAGAATTTTTTTATCCGTGAAAGTGTAAGTTTTCCACATAAACTAGATAATATATCTAAATATACAACTGTAGTAGATGATTCGACTACCTTCTTTCCTGTAACAATGACTTTATATGTGTATGAAGTGATTTGTATATGTAAGCAAACAATAAAAATACAAATAAGTTGAAAAAGCTGTCCATACGACTGCATTTATCAACACTCGTTAGTAATGGAACTACAAATCCTTAGTGACTCATGTCCATTCACACATCTAAATCCCTTATGCTGCATGTACTGTTACACAGAACATTTTATACTATATATATGTATATAGTGCTACCTTATTTAAAGTGACTGTTTAATGGTAAAGTGAAGTTGTTGTCTTCAGCAGTAATCGAACTACACTCATTTCACACTTTTATCGAAAGTATTACGGTTTACCTTGAAGTGAATTACTGAGGCTTGGTAGAAAAATGAAAATCACATTCACAATTCTCAGTGACTACTGTAATCTATTCAACCACTTGATCTGACTGAAAAAGAATCGCTATAGTGTTCAATAGCAAATTCAGTGTTTGCTATGACTTACTAACTATCTGCTTTTCGTTAAACTTCCTTAATGCTATTCACATATCGCAAATCACGTTTTAAGATACGCGTGAATCTTGATAAAGAATGTCTTAAACGCAGTAATCTTGACAATTTTCAAGTGACCTGTAATTAATTTTAGGACTGGTTGCCGTTGGTAACCATTTTACGTGATAAGTCAACAGTTCAAAACTACTTCTTTACTCTACATACAATTAATAGAAAACATTTCATACTTTTAACTGTTTTCAAGACTGGCACCTTTAACTTTTCTGCTACTCTATCGCTACTTATGAGTAGTGTATAGGTAGTAAAGTAAAATGTCTTGTTTTTTGGTGTGCATCGCTTGCTTCTGAATGTATGAAAATTGGGTTGGATAGAATAACAATTTGATTTGAAATTCACGTTCTGTTTGTTTCTCTTTAAAGGTTATTTTTCTCAACCTTTCATAATCATATAGTGGTAAAACACATATGATTATAAAAAAATGTTAATTTCCAATCGACATAGTATTATAATATATATATATATATATAAATTTTTCTTAAATTAATAACAATTATGCAAATGTTTTTTCCGAAACCAAATGAAGGCCTTCACTGTTGGATTAATTTGTTCTATATTTCATTTGTTTTAGATATCGAATGAAAAAGCTAAAGAGGATCTACATCAACCATATATCTCTTCCGTTCATGCCGCCAATCAGCCTGTTGAAAATTTCAACACTCAGTACGAAGCAGTTGATTCAGATGACTATTCTCCTCCGTCAAATTTACAACAAACTGTTTTTATAACAACACGTGTCATCCGTAGACATTCATTGCCAGAAACTCAGTTGGCTATCAGAAAAACATTCAACTTCTCACTATCGAATAAACCGAGTAATGTTGGTATGTTAAAAAGTGACCCACAAACTATTTTGCAGACAAAGTCACCAACTACAATGTCATTCACCTCAGCCAATAATAATAACAATAATAACAGCAATAAAGATAATGACACTAATAATGATAGTGGTAGTAACAATCTCCTACCAACTCTTAATAGGTTGAAAATACACTCACCTGCTCTTAAAACACTAATAACATCTGGTACACCGTCAGCGAATATCTTACAAATGCTGTGTGAAGAAGTAATTAATAATACGTCGAAATGCCTACCTGTCTCCAATACAGATATCCGTTCAGTGCAGAAGTCATTACGTCTTAAGGAAAGTAAATTAGAACAGAAAACATTGGACTTTAATAGTGAACATTCCTTTTTACGATTCGCTGCTCTTGCTCATCGCCGAAGTAGTGCACCAATTACAGAACACTGAACTAATATACTGATATAACTCCAGTGGACCAGCATTGACTGCTATATATAAGGGCGACAGAAGAATTTGTGTGAAGTAAAATGATTGCCTCAGTTAAAATGTTTCTCTAGTTTTCAATATGGCATATGCTTGTAAAAATAGTTCTACTATGTGAGATCTCAGTGAATATTTAGTTCATATTTTGATAAGTTAATCGTATATGTGTGCTACTATACTAACACTATGACTAGTAATCAGCACTTCTTATCTACCTTTTTTAGCATGATGATTGTTCACACTATGCACAATAAATAATTAATAGGAAATTTTTATAAGTAATAACAGTACGAGACTATTTTGTCACAGATATATAAAGACAACCCTATATGTTCACTTAGTTCCACTATAAAACGAGATTTGCTTTGACAATGTAGTAGTGTTTTACACCCATGCTACTCTTTTTATCACTCATTTATTATACATAAACTTCTGTTTATGATCATGAACGTATGAAGGCCCCAGTTTCTTTTTTAATCTGTATTTTCATTAAACAATTTTGCTCAATTTCACTTGTCTTTGTGACAATCTACCAAATCGTTATGTAAAGCGGTTTAATGGTTTACTTGTAAAGCAAAGGTCAGACAACGACTGTAACACTAGTTTTTAAATAATTGAAAATATACTTTCTCCTCATATAGCGACAACCACACAAATGTAATTTGCACGGAATACGAAAACAGGGGAATTTTATTTTATTTTAAATATGCACATGCATGTTGGGCGGTCACCTTTTATTTTCTGCTTATAAGCAAACAAAACAATTGCTATGCAACAACGACTGCATATATATATATTATAAAACACAAGTAACAGGCAATTACAACTGCAGCTATTAAGATAGAAGTAAACAGGTTATTATGTACACACAGTTACTGTGTTGTTCATGCAATTCTAACATTTATTTTTATTATTACTCCTAATATCTTTGAAGTCTACAGTTTTGGATTTCATATTGTTCTGCTTTTACTTTTCTTATTTTCTGTTGATTCTTTGAGTTTTTATGGAATGCTGTAATTCAGGTCTCGCACTTCTTTGTAGAGAAAAAAGCTATTGCAAGAATTCTACTGAAAAACAGGCAGTTGACTAAATTTTACTTTGCTGTTTTACAAAATATACGTATTACTAATTCAATTTGTACGTTTTACTGCCGAAAATAGAAATAAGTTCAGAATAAAAATTTCGTCTTTTTTTTATGAAAACGTATTTACCGCATAATAGTGGACTGAATTTATTTCCGAACTAATGACATTGTATATCAGTTAATCTGTGTATTTTATTTAATTTCTAAGTAATTATTCTATAATAGAACTATTCAGTATAAAGTTAGTGATGTCAATAGACAAGGGGTGATGACTGTAAGTAAAGTGTAACATAGAGTTACAAGAGGAATTAGCTCTGTCAGAATTACTACCTAGGTGATCTACCTGGTTACCTGTAATATACATCGACTAGTCAAGTTTTTAATCTTCACTCTGAACACTATTGACATCTTCAAAGCTAGAATATGAATGCATAATGCATAAATTGTTCGTTGAGCATCCTAATAACAAAGTTGAAGTGAAGTCTTTTGACCTCAATTCTAACGGAAATCAATTAGGGTAAGCATACAGTTAGTATAAAATGAAATATACTCGGAGAATTTATTACAGAGTTTAAATTACAGCAACTGTTAGGATATGCTCATACATGGATAGATAAATATGTGTCCGGGAATAAATAAATTGTTCGTTTCGTTTTCCTTGTCTTGTCTCTATACTCGGTTTCAAGAAAAACAATCTAATCAACCTATAAATGTTGTCAATTTCTTCAACATGTTTTTGAAAAAGAGATAAATCACATTGACAGAGGATAAAGTCTTCTTAACCCTAAAAACTGGTTGAAATCTATTGATCCGAGATTAAAAAATGAAAACTGAGTTACATCTACAAAGTTTGATACATCCCGTACCAAATTTCACAGTTAGAACTATGCCTATTGAGTACGTTACACCAGTATAAGCTCATTTCTCTATAAACCTGAAATGTGTTCTCATTTGAAATCACTTTTAAATGATGTACTAAAAGATTTATGAATTTTTCATACACCTGTTTTCAAGGGATATTTTTAAACCTTCAGTCATTTATCGCCATAATAGGTGAGGCAACACTAGCAATTTTTCAGAAGCCAGTATTACTAATTTCATTTCTCTAAACCGCTTAAGTATTAGTGAAGTATTGAAATACCATTAAAGGAGACAGAAATAACATAGAACACCAAGTGCCCGACTAAACCAAAAGATTTGAGGGTTATAAAGTTACTAAAAGCCTTAAATTTAAGGCATCTATAGTCATACCATATAAAGAAGGGACATATGAAACACTATAAAGGATTCCTAATAAAGCGTAGGTTAGGGTGGCACTTAAACCTACGAATGCACTCAGGAGTAGTCAGATTATCAGAACATGGAGACGGAAGTGATATAAATGCCCAACCACTCATAATCAACAGGAGAAATATGAAGGAAGTCATCTCATTCATCTACCTGAATTGGATGTCATCGTCTTAACTACTTGAAGGCAACACAGTTGATTACGTCAAAGACGACCAGAAACGCACGAGGGAATTAAGACAGGCTTTCAGTACCCTGAAATCAGTGTGGAGTAAAAATTACAGCAATTAACATGAAAAAGATTTCTATTTTTGACATCATTGTTTCGAAACCAATAAGCCAAAACTGTGAAAAATTTCAGGTAGTTTCATACACAGGCTGTTTATACTTTACTAAATCTCCTGTGAAAAAAATAATCCTAATGAATGAGGTTTTTATAAAAAGCTTGATACTTGCTTTGTAAAAACGTGCTTGAAAAATGAACCTACTTCTAGTCACCAAGTACATGAGATTAACTGAGTCTTTTGTAATCACATAAAAAAGTGATGATTAATACAAATCTTACTCAGATACGCGAAAAGTCGTCTAGTTTACTACCTCACGATTTTACTAGCTGAGACTGAGATGGGTACTCGAACTGTAAAATAAATGAGAAGATATGATACAGCAGTGCTTAGGAATACATGAGAGCAGATAAATGGAAGTGAATTGTTAACTAAAGAGTCAGCAATCTACTCCGGTCATCCAGGTGGCAACCACCAGCAAAACGGGAGTGTAGTCAACATGGTTTCAGCAACAGCAATGAAGGCTCTTATGCAATGGAAAACCATTCCTCCCAGGATTACGAAAGCAAAGTTTATTTCGAAAGCTGGCAAAGTTAAAACTGCTACGCGCCTAAAAATAACGCATATCAAGGCAGAAAGGGAGAATTCTGCAGACAACTGCAAATGGTAGTGGAGGTGCTCAGGTGGCAACTTTGAAATCCAAATTCATGATATGAAAGCCAACCGAAATGGGAGTAAACAACAAAGGAAGAGGACTCATCATGAGCCCGAAGTCTCTTGGCAGAATACATGAGAGGGGCTGAACTCTTCATGGACTTCTGCGCTTTTAATAGCTTGGTGATTGGAGGGAGCGTTTACAAACATAAGGATATAAGCGAAGCGATATGAATTTCATCTGATGAACACACGAAAAACCAGATAAACTTTATGTCAATCTCAAGACAGTGGGGATTCAATCAGTTGGATACAAACAGAGAAGAGAAGCAAATGTAGGACTAGACCGTTATCTAGTGTAGGGAACCTACAAGGTCAAGCTCGAGAGCTTCAAAGAGGCTGCAGACAGACCACAGTCAGTGTTCGACACCGGAAACTGAAAGAGGTAAATACACAGGAAATTCTCACCTCAACCGTTAGGGAACAGTCGCAAACAGACCTTCATTGCTAAAGAATCAGTGTAGAAGTCTGCTGCACTCAGCATAAGGAACAAGATATGGATATCAGACATTAATGTCAAGTCACTGCCTCTATTTGGTTAAGAGACTTGACGCCTGCCTCACCGAGTGCGTTTATAATAGACCTCACATTTCACCAACTTCTGCGATTGTTCGATAATGAAGATCAGGTGCCTGAAAAGGATAAACGACAATGAACTTGAACAACAAACTAACTAAGAACGAATTTGACTTCTTAATAAATATGCAGAATGAAATGAAAATGGACGGGACATATGCTTGAGATGCAGTTACGTCACACACCAGGCCGTCAAATGTAACCTAAATGGGAAACAATGAGTTAAGGATCTGAGGGTGATATGGAGTAGATCACATGGGGAGGAAACATAAACTTGTGTTCAATCGGGGAGCCAGCTAAGAAAGACTGTATAGAACAGAGTGAAGTGGAAATGATCTACAGAGACCTATTTTCTACTCAACAAAACGAAGTAATTACAGTAATAAATATTCAGGAGCCCGATTTGTTTACTGGTCCTTAAGACCTGCGATTTTTCGTACTTTTTCTAATTTGAAAGGTTGGAATATTCTGGGCTATGTTCTGAACATCGATATGCCTTCCTAACTTCCTATCGTGTGGAGCCTAGGGACATCAGATTAGGATATGGTAACCTCTCTCTTGATTCTCAACCTTGTGCCACAATATGACGATCTTGTATTGAACTTCATGGTACACTGAATCAGTAGGAGTAGTGCCAACAATACACTAAAAATAAGTATGGTGGAATAAGCCGTTTATTTGATGTTTAGCAGTAAGTTAGTGTTTCCACGCCTAAAACACCACACGAGACGCATGCCAAATAAGATATTACTCAGTATTTGTATTTATTCATGCCAATATGAAAGCTGTGATAATCGCTTGTCACTTTGTCAGAGAAGGTATTAGGGGACAGTTTTGAATAAAGAGAGTGTTGGAAGTCTGATAAGATTACTTTCTGCATTTTCTTGCACGGGTTCAAAGCAGGTCAACAAAGCTGTCGACCAGTTTACTTAGAGGTGCAGCGCTTTCCTTCCAACAGCTTTTGCTGTCCTCCGCAACGTATTTATTATTATTTCCTCTAATTCCTAGAGGAACACACGGCTTCAACCGCGCGTCTCCATTGCGTTCGGTTCTCTGCTAGATTTTTCACCTGGCTCCAAGTATGCCCACATGCTTTCATCTCCTCTTCACATGACCTCCTCCAAGTCACCCCTTTCGGGTTCCACTCGAGCGATGACTTGTCTAGTGGTGTTACTTGATGGTTTCCTCAGTGTATGGCCAGCCAATCCATCTCCATTTCTTCCTGCATATTTGTTTCACAGTCGGTTCCTGCTGGGTTGGTTCGCTCATTGCCAGATATCCCTGTTGCTGATCTTTTCTGGCCAGCCATCTGATCTTGAGTACTGAGCGAAGACAACCGTTAATGAAGGTCTGAAGTTTGTTGGAGATGCTCTTTATGACGCACAATGCAAGTCTCTGATCCGTATAGTAAGTGGCACCTACTTCACATTGGAGTTGAAAATCCGGATCTTATTTTTGATGCTGAGTGATGTTGACCTCCACACAGACCTAAGAGTAATGAAAGCCTGTCTTGCTTTTCCGATTCTGGCTTTGATATCCTCGTCAGTTCCGTGCGCCTGTAGTTGAAACGATGATTCCCAGGTAGGCTACGTAAGAGAGTCTTTATTAAGAACCCTCAGAAAGATTTAAGGGGAGTAATAAAGAAGAACCAGCAAATTGCAAGCGTTAACGAAGTGTAAAAGTAGAGGCTGAGCGTAGGTAAAGTGGTTTAATTCCCTTATGCAGAAGGTTAGCTGGGATAATTTTCTAGAAATCAGCAAGATATAGGTAGACCAGAAAATATCAGATAACAGACATGTACAAAGAAGCGCTGTTAGTGTTTCAGTTTTTCAATACATTTCTTTCTCAGATGCTTCTATATTGTTGTAATGATGCTTTGATTACTCAGTTTCATAGCAGCTATCAGTGAGATTTATAACGTACATTCGAAAGAATGAGGATGTTTCTGTTAAAATTTAAACTTAACTCAATTCACCTCACAATATGTTTCCGAAGATTTTATGTCGATTCAAACATGCATTGTTATAAATATTTTGTATGTAACAATTACTTAATGGGCACAACTCCCATGCAAAGATAATAAGTAGTTCATTATAGTAAAGGTTTTTGTATTTCCCAATGAATGAAAAACAAAATGGCATTGTTTTTAGTGGCGTTTCGCTATGTTATGCTAATAGCTTTATCAAGTAGTTGTTTGTCTACTCGTAAGTAGCTTAAGTATTTAGAT